CAGCCCCACAGTTAGCCAACCAGATGCTGTGCTTGGGACCCAGCTATATACTGATGCGTATTAATCACTAAGCATCTGTCAAAATGCTTCCATCAGTCCTAATGTGAATATGCACATTTCTTCTATACTTGAGGATGTCCAGAATATTCAATGCTTTGTCTTTATACTTGCTGGGCTAAACCAAATTCAGTGCCAAAGTTGATTTTTTTCCTTCATTTTATTAATAGTAAAAGAAGCCTGCTTTTGCACATACGTATGTCCGTGTCCATGTGCTTTCCCCTAACAAGTCGCTGAAGAACTGCATTGCGATCGTGAGCGTAACAGAGTTTGCTAGTTTCTGGTCCAGTAAAAGGTCCTGTGATATTTATAATGACTTGAACTCGGTGTGCAGTTTGAAAGAGAACTGTTCCAGCCAGTGACTGGTGTGGATCTGACAGAGGGAAGAGCAATACTTCACTGACACAGCCAGTTCTTACAGCCCTGTGATTTTTTCCTTCCGTGGTCTTCTACACATCTATGAACTTTTCAAAGATGATCCTGCATAGTTTGTGAGCTCATAAGTCATACTCTGTGTGATTTTTACTGAGTTGAGCCTTCTGGTTTTAAGGCCAGTGTTTATAAGCAATTTGGAAGGAAGTCACATCTATTACAATTCTCTTTTTTTTAAAAAATTATGTACTAATAAAGCAAATGCTAAGAAGTCTGTAATGTGTATCCAAGGGTTCACCAGGGCTTTAGGAGTGCAGCTCAGTGTTACATTTAAGGTGATGTAACTCCAAGCTTCTCCCAAACCATTCTCCCCCATTTTCCATCTTTATCTGCTCATTGCTGTTGCATCCCGTACAGGAGGTGACTGTTCTTTGCTAGCTCACTGTTTTCTGCAGAGCAAACCAGTCTGTCACTGTTACAGGTTACTCCTTTGTTGTAGCTTGTCTGCGGGTAATGGTGTGCTGCTGATGGGATCAAGATCCAACAACTCTCTTCCCTTGGGCTATTTCCTCCTTGCCTGCATCAGTGAGGAAGTAATGACTGAGGAAGGAGCTCTCTTTTCCTGCACCTTGAAACCTCTTAGATAAACAATGTGAGCCACAGACACCTTCTGATAGCGTACTGTACTTGGAGGCAGTCTTTTTCATCCACTGTTCATGCGATGGAGGGGTAATTGTTTCTTAGCACTAATGAAGCCAAACACAGAGCGTTCTCTCTTTATAACACATCTTTCCTTTTTTTTCTTTTTTTCCTAAGGAAGTATTTCAGTTACATCTTTAACTTAGTCCCTAATGCCCAGTGTAGATTTTGCTTTCCAGCCAAGTATAATTTGGTATTTTGCCAGGAGCATAGATATCTGTAAAGTACAGGCTCTGACTTTTTTAAGAGATGCTTTGGGATTGTGTTTATCAGATTCGGGGAAACCATACCATATTAAGTGTGGTTTTTTTCCTGCCTGAAGGTTGAAAATCTACGTTCAAATCTAGAACATGACAGGGCAATTACTTTTTTTTAATTTATTCAGCAGCAATCAGTAAACAGATACTTTCTCATAACCACTCAGAATGTTTTGTGTATGCATTTTAGTTTTGTGGAGGCAGATTGCTGTCAAGTTAGAAGCTTCAATACCATTAGTAGAATATCTTTGTTAGTATCTCTTGATAGAAATTTGATCATACAGTGTTAGCTGAAGCTGGGACTGAGTATCGGCTCTGGCAGTATTATTAGTTGCGAGATAGTTGCTTTGTTCCTCCAGCTGATACTAACTGGTATATAGTTTGGCTGTGCACAATAGATTCTCAATGGTAAAACAGTTTTAGATTTCTATTAAATAACTTGTATGAATAATAGCATTACGTTTGCTTTTTCACTTTCGTCTGTGAATCCTGCATCCTTTCTGCACAGCAAAGAGGAAAGGAGGAGGCTGCCTGCTCTCCAGAACAGTCACAGACTGGAAGCTTTTGCTGGGATGGTGGGAGAAGTGGTTTGCAGCCTTTCAGGCTAGTGAGAAAATTGAATCCAGGTCTCCCACTAGTTGGAAGAGTTTTCTGATCCCCAGGCTATTATTAAAATACACATATCAAAATAAGCACCTGTATCTTTGAAGAAAAACTTACCAACTCTGTATTATCCTGGCCATGGGATGTCTTGAACATACCCGGGGATTAGGCCCCACAGCAAACGAGATTTTAGAAGTGCTCAGAGTGGGTAAATTGAGCTATGCTCAGAGGAGAAGCTCTCAGTGTTCAGAGAGCTTTAAGGTCAAAAGTAAAGTACCTGGGAAGCAGAGGCTCATCACTGGTTGGGAAGCAACGGTGGCAAGGCTCTTTTGGTTGTAGTTTGAGAAAATTATTTCGAATTTAATAAGCATATTTTATAGAAGTTGGGGTATTCCAGTACTGTCTTAAGGGTCAAATGAGAATTTACATTTTTACAATAAATAAGGTGAAGACTCACTAGTTTAGATGACAAGTGCTTTTCAGCAGCCGTTATCTCCACTGAGAGGCAGCTGAATCACAGAATCACAGAATATTAGGGGTTGGAAGGGACCTCTGGAGATCATCTAGTCCAACCCCCCTGCCGAAGCAGGGTCACCCGGAGCAGGCTGCACAGGACCTGGTCCAGCTGGGTCTTGAATATCTCCAGACAAGGAGAATCCATAACGTCCCTGGGCAGCCTGTTCCAGGGCTCTGTCACCCTCAGAGTGAAGAAGTTCTTCCTCATGTTCAGCTGGAACTTTCTCTGCTTCAGCTTGTGCCCATTGCCCCTTGTCCTGTCAACAATTTGTTGAAACGTTATTTTCTGTGCATCTGAGTATATCCATATTTGCAGTGCATGTATTTTATTGCTGTGTCTGATAAAAGTGTACAATAACACAAATTATGCAGGCAGATTTTAAAACAACTGTGTGGTTTTCTGCAATTTTGATAATTTTTTATGCTGTGAACTTAGACAGAATGGTGCTCTGAACCACGGTCATGTGCCACGTGTCCACAGCTGAAAACCCCAGATAGGTTTTTGTGTGAAAAATCCATGCTCTGCGTGTTGGCCCAGCAGTTAAATGGGTAGAAGTAAAAGGCTTTATGATGGCTTCTCTGTTGTAGAATGCAATACATTATTCATGACACCAACCTGCCTTGGCAAGCTTAAATGTATTTCTAGCATTTAACCTCAGATATGTATCCAAATCCAGAAATTATAGTGTGATATAGCATTCACCAATTTGACCCAAGCGTATCTTAATAAGTCTCTCACATCTCTGTCAGTCACCAGAGAGGATGAATATGAATGGCTAGCCTGAATATTCCTGGATTTGAAGTTTTTTGGAGGAAAAAACCCCATCTTTGGCTGTTGCCTTGCCAATTCATCTTCATTCCAAGTGGTAAACATGTTGGTAGACGTGAATGAAAAGCCTCCAGAGTATAAATAATAAATGCTTCTTCCAGCTATACAGAGCGCGTTACGTTTTTGAAATGATGCCAGTATTTTTTTTTGCTTTTAAATGGATTACATTGTTACATAGTGCTATGCAGAAAGCTTCTGTGAAGGTCTTTATCTGTGTTCATAACTGTTGATTTAATATAATTACTAGCATAAAATATCATATGCTGAAAATTAAACACAAACAAATGAAATGAATATTCAGGGAGTTCTTAGCCAATTTGCAGTATTTTGTATGAGATCAGTGCAGATGTTAGGAGCTTCTCAGTTCTTGACAAGTAATAGATGATTTTGTTAAAAATGTCTAAATTATGAATATATTTATGTGTTTTCTTACTAGCATAATGTTTGAGAATTTATCTTACCTGAGTTATAATTGTTACATTAAATCTACACTAATGACAACAGTAAATGAATTGAAAATGCATCCTTTCCCTCCGCCCTCCAACATTTCTAACCATACAAATCATTGAAGACGTGTTGTGGCACTGACTTCTGTTGCTCTAGGAGTCCTTTATCCTCTCCAGTTTGGCGTCCTTAATGTATAAGCTGCATGTTAGTATATCTTGGCCACAAGACAAAAGTATAAATTAGCTATCCGTCATAAATTCCTTTGAAAATCACAGTATGAGTCTTTATAAGGTTCCAGCTATCACATTAGAATAGACTAGAGTAGACTAGACTAGAGTAGAATAGAATAGAATATTTCAGTTGGAAGGGACGTACAATGATCATCAAGTCCAACTGCCTGACCGATTCAAGGCTGAACAAAAGTTAAAGCATGTTGTTAAGACAAGCAGTCACTTTTCTAACAGTGAAAAAGGTAATGCTGATCAGAGAACCACGAAGTGAAATCTTAGGAACAAAGACAGAGTTAACCTTGGATTTGCTTGGCAACTGTTGTAGTATACTTTCTTTGCATAGATCTGAGAGTTGGTCAACAGCAGAAGTAACTCATCTTTGTTTCATAGTTGTGGTATCAGTACATAATACTGAATATACATATAGGGCATTCAGGTAAGATGGTATGGTGGGTCTGCAGCATATAAAAATAAAAGCATGGGCATTACACATTTAATAAAGGGCAAACCCAGAATTATTTTCCCGAAGTAGTCAATTTGTATGACTAGTCTTTTCAGAAGGGAGTTCCGGTTGAGGACTAGAAACTAGTATTTATTGTCTGTCAGCATCCTGTTGAGATATAGCTCAAAACAAAGCCTGTAAAACCAAGGATAAGTTTCTGTGCTGAACTGCTGTTTATTCTCTGGGTGAAGTGAAAAGAGGTAAGAGAAAAATGCTGTGTGTTGGAGAATATTTTCTGGGAGTTATAAAGTAACTAAGTCATAGCAAGCTTTAGCTTTTGCATGGTTTTCCCTTTTTAATGTGAATAAATCTATTGCTAAACCACTGTCTGCAGTTTCTTTCCTGAATTGTCTCTGCTTTAACATAGATGAAATTCCAGTCAGTCACCTTCATTTCCTGAATGCATGGTCATGTAATATGACTCTGAATTAAAGAGTATCTGCAGATAGAAATTTGATAATGGCACATTAAAGATTATTGTCCCGCAGAACAAAATGGGTGTGTGAGCCATCTGTATCGCTGGAAGTGCGATTAAGGCAAAAGTGCAAGAAGTTTTTCAAAGAAGGCAAAGCTTCAGTGATGAATGAAGAATCTAAGCTGTTGGAAGGTATTTGATATACAACGGTATGGTGAATTCAGAGCAGAGATTTTGTCTCTGATTTGATTAAATTTCCTTTAGAAGAAAAGTCTTCCTTCTCTCTTTTTTAGGTATAGGAAAATCTCATGAGAAGTTGGTCAGACTTAGACTGCAGAATGAGGTGCTTAGCTGCTGTTTTGCTGTATTTGCTGCTCTCTGGACATGTATTGCCTCAGGCTGCTCATTCTCAGCTCACCAAGGCATTGCAGCTCTCACAATTTCTTTTGCTTTTTTTGAGGGCAAATGTATTTGATCTCTACTTTGTGCAGTGCAGTGTTTGGGCCCTGTTTCATCATCATGAGTTAAATCCCCTTCAGACTCCTTCAACACCTCAAAGAGTCTTGACGCAGCAGAACTTTTGCAGCTGAGCTGTACTGTACACCAGGAGTGCATCCCTCCCTTTCTGATGGAGCTTGCTGTTTTCCGGCGTGGGGACTTCTGGAGAAGCAGACAGCTCCTGAGCCATAGCTGAAGAGAGCTCAAGAGTACGTGCAGGAGTTACTGGAACAAAGTGGCAATTGTGGAATAAAAACAAGCAGTCGATAGACATAGACAATAAAAGAATAGTCACTGAATCTGTGAACTCATTTAGGATTTGGCTCAACAACAGCAGTAAATGGAAGCAGATGATAATCAGCTCCTGCACTGTTGGTGCAGAGGGTAATGAATGAACATTTACTGCTTCTGTTCTGAGAAGCCATACTGAGTGAGCAGCAGCATTTGGCCAGCTTGGCTTTGATTTTATTACAAGTGTCAGGCGCTTGTGTCTAGACTGGTGCTTTGGCAGCTAATTGATCTCCAGCATTTGATATGCTAATTATTTCTTTCATAACATGCTAATATGTGTACAGTGAAAAAACACCTTTTAAATGTTATGAGGATATCTCAGAGGCGTATTTGGAAATGGAAAGTAAGACCTGTAAATCTTGATTTATATCAGTATGATATACAAGTGACTGAGTGCTTATATTTGTGGGAATTCAGCTTAAAAATGGGGGTGTTAAGACAGATATTGTTTAGTCATACAGTGACTGTACAGGGCATGTGTAACAGGCTATCCTGTGCAGCCCAACCAGCTAGAGAATTGGTGTGGATTAGGGAATATACTACTCTGTTTATAGACCTTGGCAGCTTTTTTGCTGCTACTACACGGATGTTCTTTTTTGTGAGGTTAGTAATCTGGACATCATAGTTTTGATCATATTTCCTGCAGTTAGAGAATGAAATACTAATAGTAGCAAAGTATAGTTGAGTCACCTCTCAGTTCTCCTCTAGGATAGCATGTCCCTCTCTGCATTAGGGCTACTTCTCCAGGTAACTGAATTACTTGCTGGCTCTCTATGAATTCCTACCATTGGACCATTCAAAAGTAGATGTTACTTGACTGTGTCCTGAGATATGCTTGTATGCTAGATAGTTCATTCCCAGATTTTTTGACCTTTCCCTTTTTGGATTTTCTTCATACTCTGGGTGCTTTTAAAATAGAGTCGGATGTGTCTCAGTCATTATCTTCCTGTAGCTCCACATGAAATCTAAATTGCACACATTCTTAAAACTTTGAAAGAAAGGTGCCATCAAGGAGAGTTTTCATGCACATTTTCTTTTGTCTGTCTCCATTCAAATATTTTTAAGAATACTTTTATTAAAAATATAAACATATAAATGTTTTAGAAAGCTATCAAGGCAAATCTGTGGAAGGAAAACTATTGAGCAGCCTTCCTAGGACTAGGACAGAGCTGCAAGAACACATTAATGTAGTACAGAGCCAGAGGCAGAACCAGGATCCTTACTGGCCTTTGGAGATCAGCCACGTTTAGCAATTGAACAATTTAATTTCTTTAAATAGTTTTGAAAGAAAATAGCTAGATTTTCTTCTATACAGACACCTATTGCATACACTAATAGGCTGTCCCAGTGCCATTAAGTAGATATTAATTAGATTACTAATATGTACCTAAAGTTTTAAATAATAGGAAAATGTCTGATCTCCATTTGGCTTCAGTCCTTGACAGCAGATTAGATGAACGCCTATCAAATGTTATAAGTGCATGAGCAGATTCTACAACTGTTAGTAGGAGCAGATTCTGTGTCTGCTGTAATAAGCTTATCTGCATGCTCAAAGCCCTAATCACCCTCTTGTTGACTAGAGAGGACTTTGATTTTATCCACAGGGGTATAAGAAACTGATTATTTAGCTCTGCAAACCAAACCAACACAAATAAAACCATCCCTTCATTTTACAGAGGAAAGTTAGTGAACTGATTACTGAAAATGAAGTCAATGGAGCTGTGCTTACTGAAGACCGAAGCAGTAAGTCAGAATGCTTTCTTATGTCAACAGTTATTACATCCCGTTAAATTCATCCAACTACAAAACCCTGCAAATGATATGGAATCACAATAGTGTCCTAGGCAGAGAAGGTTATACTTTTATACTGAAAATATACTGTGTTTAGTTTCACTTTGGGCTTCTTCAGAACTGATAGAACACTGCTGACAAAGTAGAATTTCTCATGGTGACATATGAGTAAATGATAAAAGGATCTGGTCTCACATAAGTGACATGCATTCCTTCTTGTTCTAGCTTACTTTTCAAACATTTAATTTTTGTCACTGGTAAAACTGATTTTTGGAAGCTGAATGTCCCTCTTAAGCTGGGGTTCTCAAGGGAATAATTTTAACTGAAATTGAAGGAGAAAATGTATTTTTGCATCAAAACAAGGACTCCTTGATATATCTTATTTGTGGCCCTTTACTTCTGGTTCAGGATATTATTTCCTGGATGCACTCAAATCGTACAGCAATAGACTTGAGAATTAATACTTGGAATACTTGGTGGGCTTTTTTGTCCTTTAGCCCAAAGAATTACATCTGATTGAGACCATGTAGTTATACCATAACTACTTCTTTGAGGCTTCATTGATGAGGCTAAAACCTTTGCCAACTTTCATGTATGTTCATAAGATATTAGAAATGCCACATAAATAATGTCTTAATATGCTTACAGGTTACTCAAACATAACACACAGAGGTGAGGTTAATAATACAGCTTTAACAAGGGACATGCTCAGACTGGTTAGATTATTGAAATACTGCTTTAGTAAGGGAAATAATTAAAACTTGTAAGTGATTGAAACAATGAAGTGTAGTGACTTCACTATAAAGAAATTTAACATACTTCACAAAACTCACATGCAGCTGAGCACACTTTAAACAAATGTGTTTTGTGACTGTTTGTTTGAATGTTGAGTTAAATTTATTTTAGCCATATTGATGCCTCTTACATTTGCTTTCTATAAATATTCTAGACAACAGGATTTATGAGTGGGCATGTTCACCAAAAAAATCACAGCATAACCTTTGTAAGCACAACAATAGTCTCCATAAGATACAGCATCCACACGGAAGATTTGATGTTGTAAAATTCATCCTGTCAACAAGAAAAAGAAAACATATCTTTGAAGAATTAAGTCAGATGAGTCAAATTTACGATGCTAAAAACTTGGAAGAAAATTCTAAAAATGACTCACGAAGAAGTCAGTGGGGATGAGGAAAGCTGACAGATAAATGATACTGCATGAGACCAGCGAATGGTCAGGAAGAAAGAAATGACAACTAGACCATGAATTCCAGATAAGCCTTGTGTATAGAAGAGTTAACAAATTAACAGAAATATAAAGGGGTTTCAATTAAATGTGGAAAATTGTCCTCCAGAAAGCTAATGTGCAAAATATATGCCCCCTTAATATGATCCATATTGGCTTTCAAATATAAACATGTCCTTTTAAAATTATATCAGGTATCTCATGCAGTCACGTCATTATGCTCAAATGCAAGGTGCTGGTTCCAAAGTATTTGTTATGCAAGCAATACACACACATCAGCAGTTGGATTAATAGTACTCAATGGATTAATTAGAGGCTGCCACTGCAGTACGTTCAGTACTTTCTGACAGTTCAGTAGCGCATCTAGGATACATCGGCTTGTATCCTGTGAAACACATTATTCCAAAATAATTTTCTCATGTGTGATTTTTTAAATAGTACTTGAATTTTTAAACGTCTGTCAACAAATACTTCCAGATAGCTTAGCTTCAGAAAAATTAGGGACTCTTCCTCTTGCTCAGTTGAGCTTGGATCTACCCTGCTTTTCTTATGATGTGTGTTTAAGTTCATTCAATGTCTGTTGAGAAATGCATACAATATACTGAGTTATTCTTAGAAGACTGGAGTGCTTCTGAATGAATAGCACTAGGTAAATAAACCATATTAAAAACCAATGTGTCTCACTAAAAGATCTAAGCTATGATTTCAGCTTAGGTACAAGGATTGCTGTGTTGGCCATAGACTAGGCAGCTCTGTCCTGCGGGGTGGTAACTTACGGCGTGCTAACTCAGGGACTTGTACTTATGTGAGTATTCTCCGAGTTTGAAGGAGTACAGTTCAGAGATAAATGCACCTCCCATTTTTACATAGTTCCTCAGGGAATCAGCATCCCTTTTGGCAGTACTCATGATTTTGGATCAAATTGAAAATGAACATCTGCAATAATGAAAACTATAGGTCAGGAGAATAATGTTGAATTGGGAGTATACACACCTGTTAAGACTCTAAATTTTAAGCTGTGATGTTTCCTCTATGTTGCTAAATACCTCATAAACTTTGCCCAATGTCCTTAGCATCCACAAAGAACTCTGCTGTAGATAAAAAGTCTAGAAGATGGCAGTTGCTCTTCAAGGGGTTCTTACTGTCATAATCTCTTGTCATAATCTGGAGCCCTCTGGTTGCTGCTCAGCAATCCTTTTTGTGTCAGAGTTACACTTACTATAAAGATCAAGCCATTTATTCAAGAGTCCCAGTGCTGCAGTCAGCAATGCAGTCAGCAAAGTCATACAAATCTTGCCTTTACTATTGGAGGCCAACTGTGGAGCAAATCTGGTTTTGTAATGAACCTCATTCACAAGAGCTCCCT